ATTGAATGGTATAACTAGTTTTATCATCTTTTAACTTTTCAGGAGCTAACCAATGTATGGTAGCATTCAAATCACCAATTTGACTGGTATCAGCACGAACTTCACGTGAAAATTTGAAATTGCAAATTTAGGTTGCATTCCTTCGGTAATTAACACATTCTCACACTTAATATCATGATGCAAAATCCCGACTGTGGTTAAAAGGACAAATTTATGTCAATTTTTTAAACTGGCATATTTCGATGTCTTCAAACGAAAAAAAAATCATACCAGCGTGTAAAAAAATTAATCCACAAAAGATAGATCTTGCGAAAGAAATTTTTGCATCCCATTCAATAGTATATTTCTGATATAATTCGCGTAGAGTTCCGCATTCAGCCCATTCAAAAACCATCACATCTCCAACATCTAATTTTGACAATCCATAAAATCGAATAATATATGAACAAGCTTTCAATTTTCTCAAAATAGCAAGATGCATATTGTCAAGCTTGTCCCGATGAGTGGGTCTACAAGCAACATCTTTTTGTTTATAAATTTTTTTTAAAACCGTTACTTTACGTTTATAGGGTTCCGCAGTATCTTTCAATTCCGAAGGTTCAATTTGTCCACCAGTACTGGATTCAGTTTTAAATGTAGAACTTCTTACATTCAAACTTCTTTCATTCAAATAACGAATCGTATCAATTTCCCCGTTGAGCGAAGTAAAATTAAGTTCATGTTTGTCCTTGTCCGCCTTGTATTTTAAGGGTTCGTTATTTTGTTTATTAATTTTGTCATCCCGTTCAATATTATCAACTTTAACAACAATTTTCCTTTCTTGAACATGTAATACAGTGGTATGGTTCATCATAATTGTAATACCACCTTCAATATTGTCTAAAAATTTCTTCATTTCAGAACTTAAAATTGAAATCAATTGTTCATTTGTAATGGATCTAGCCAGCTTTAAATGAATCGAGCAACTGTCAAGATCTTTTATAATTTTCTCAAAGGTTTCTTTAATATTACTACTTGAAGCAAATCCTGATAATTGGGAAATATCATTAAAAAATTTTTTAATTTGATTTAAACAATTTATTAATTTACAAAAGGAATTGTAATAATTTTGGCTGAAAATTTCCTCAATATTCTCTTCTTTTTGTCTTATCAATCCTCTAATCATAAATTTTACATCTTCGACTGTAGTTACTAATGCACCACAAGTTTTTTTATTATATTGAACATAATCATAAACGTCCGCTATCTCTTTTGTTAATCAGTACAAGAGGTATAAAAGGTGCAACTGCCTCGTTTACAACTGCTTGGCTTACAACTGCCTCCTTTACTCTATTTTTAATTACATCTATTGGATCTGCTGCTTCATTTGCTCTTGTTTCTGATTGATCAGATTGTTTATTAAACTTTCCAAATTTATATCAGGAAACTCCTTATAAGTTTAGATATTTCTGTCGTTGTAACATTATTTAATTCCAAATTTGTTTTACTGAGAGAAATATCATTTTCATATGTTTCCAAATCAACGCTTGTAATTTCTTGATTTTTTTTCGGTGAAATTATTGATTTCAAAGTTTCAACAACTTCTTGAATTATCGGCCTTTTATCTGGATCACCATCCCAACATTCTAATTAATGAAATTAAATTAATAAAATAACACTCACTTTATAAAATTTATTGCAAAGTTTCACTTACTTACGTGTGTAAAGGTCAGAATATTCTTTAGGTGTACCTTAAATAATATCTTCTCTCACTCCACCTAAAACTTTAATAACTAAAGATACATCATATATACCACCAGTAAAAGGTTTTTTCCCACTAGACAATTCCCATAATAATACACCAACATTATGAACATCGCTTTTCTCATTCAATCTATATTTTTTTGATGAGAAAAGCTTTCCTTCATTTGGTGAAGTATTTTCTAATCCTTTTGGATCAAAATATGGGACTACACCAAAAAATTTTGACGATCCTACAGTGCTTTCTTCTTTACGTTTGCTTAATCCAAAATCCGCTAATTTGATTGAACCTTGATGCATAAAGTACATTGTTTGAATGTAAATCTCTGTGTATTATTCTTTGCCAAATCCTCCTTTACCAATTTCTTCTATATTTATAAATTTATCGTATTCGTAATATTTTATATGCTATTCCCTTATACAATTTTCTATCCAATTTAACGATATATCAGTAGACATTTTTATTTTATAAAAATCTAAAATAAAATTAAATGACAAATATATAGAGTCGACCCGTGTAACATTGCACAAAATATTAAATAGAATTTTCTCCGAGAAGTCCGGACTTTAAGCCAAGTATTAAAAAAACTTGATCCATAATAATTAATTTATGCTATTTAGTGATGCGAAATTTAATATACTACAAATACCATAAATAGTAATATATTTATTATCAATTTTATTGAAAATAAAAACCACTATTTAAATCTAAAATACTATTCATTGTTGATTACTTCTTGTGTCAATTTCATAAAAATACAGCTAAACTTCACCTTTTCTGCTTTTTTTTTCGACATTTTTGATTACATTTGACATTTATTTCCTTTATGTTATAAAAAAAAAAATATATTTTACGCGACAAAATTAAAAATGATCGGCATCAATATTTAACAATCGGCACTCAATTTTTTTAATTCTAGATATTAACAATGCTTAAACTTTTTGTTGTGGTATACACATAAGACTTGCATTCTTAACTAAATTCTACTAAATATGGTCTACTAATAATAAATTTGAGATGAGTTGTAATAACAAACGTTATTTACCGACTTCCAGTTGTACATGTATGTATAACATAACCTTCCAATTGATCTCAATTAGCAACACGTCTAAAAGTTATATTAGAACCATTACTACTCATTTCCTCGAATTCTTTAATTAATTTATTAATTAATAAATCCTCTTTCTTCATAAAATGTATTTTGTTCTTTTGATTGGAAAGGCATTTTCGAAAAGAAAAAAAAAAATTAGATTTAAAATTATTTGTTTTTGACGATCATTTAAAAAATTATGGAGATTTAAAACTGCTGGTTTGAATTATTAATTAATGCGAAATTTCAACTTTCAAAACGTACTATTGGACTGACCAATATTCATTAAAGTAAAGAATTTCTTTTATTTTTATTCATTCAAGTAATTGGCAGTAAGATCTCATGAAAGTTTTTTTATTTATAATAAAAGTACAAAATTCTCGATTTTTTTTATTAAGAAAAAAAAAAAAATAAAAAAACAAATACAACAATAATTCAAATCTTTTTAGGTTTAATATGAACATCAAATTTCTCACAAGTAATGATACCTCCCATAAAACCTTTTATAATAGGCTGATCTGGAATAGTTGACTCAATATCATACTTTGAAAATAAACGTACAAGAACAATTTTATGTTGTACCATAACAAGGAATCTACCAGGGCAATGCCTAACTCCCCCACCGAATTGATAGAAAGCTTTTGGCTTTTCCAAATTATTATTCAAGAATCTATCAGGATTAAATACTTCTGGTTCAACCCAATAATTTTCATTATGATGAAGACTATAGAAATTTGTCCAAAACAATGTATCTGGTTCAAAAGTATAACCACAAAGTTCAACTTGATTACTTGAGGTTCTAAAGAATACTTCATTTGTCGGAGAAATACGAGCAGTTTCATGAATTACAGCCTCACAGTAACGAAGTTTATCAAGTGATTCAAACGTAATCGTTGGTGATGAATTTACGCCATAAACTTGTTCAATTTCTTCAATCAACCGATCTTTGACATTAGGATGATTACAAAGGTAAGCCAAGACAAAAGATATCGAGGACATAATATTATAAGTTCCCGCAACGATTAATTCCATTATAATCTTACGGATTGAAATGTCGGATAAAGGTTCCCCCAACCTAACTTTATTTTGATCACGAGATGTATTCGTCGTAATCATCAAGGTCAAAAGATCCCATGGTAATTCTGTTTCGACGGGCATCGCTTCAATCTCTTGACGCCTTTCTTTCACCCTTTTATCAAACACTTCTTCAACCTCATAAAATAAACCAATAATCTTATTGTTAAAATATTTAAAAATTGAGCGTCTAATATAACCTGGTACGTTCATGATAAACATTCCACCCTTTAAGGAAGCAGAGAGGTTATCAATGATTTCACCGGATTGCTTTAAAAGATTTTGAGGGATGTCAAGTTTTTTGTTGTCAGTTATACGATTTAAATAATTTGCTTTTGCATAACTTTTTTTACTCAGGATGGTTTCAATGATTAAATCATTAGAAAACGCTTTCATCCACTTTGGTAATTCAATCACGGTACGATTATCATTTGCCGAGACACCTAATAAATCCCAATATTGAAATAACTCGTCACAATTCTTTTCAACCAATTGAATGGTGCCCCTTAAAAATCCGGTAGACATCAAGGTTTGAGTAAGCAATCTACGATTAATACTCCAATCTTTTAAATCTCTATTAAACACC